ATAACAGAAAAAATTACAGTAATATGAATGGATATATGTATATATCTCTAACTGCTGTTGACAAAACTACATTTCCTGTTGCTATAACTGCATTTTTAGTACATTTTGTTACAGCATGAATGCTTAGAGAAAATTTCACTAATAAAAACAATGGTTTGTGAAAATAATCCCAACGAGGGCTAAAATTTGTTGCAAAGAGGTTACTAGCAAAGAAAATTGGGCAGTTAAAACAAATAAATCCAAAAGCTCTTCAATTCCATAGTTCACATCAATACAGAGACCTATTTGAAGGTTTTGGGAACATCATTGAATGGGAAAGGGAAGTTCTAACTTACGCTTTAAATTTATCGTTAATCTGACTACCTCATTCATGAGACCCTGAAAACCAGGATGCTACTAGTACATCACTTTTCTGAATTTTAAAATGTCTCTCTATGTCTTTCTTGTTCTAATTTTATCAACAATTATGTCAGAAAATGAAAGAATATATTGTTTCTTGCAATTTCATCTGATATTAACTGTGGCTTCCTTTGGCACCATAGCAAGGCTTGGAAAAGTGCTGTCCAGTCGTCCGGGACAAGTAGATTTTCCTTTTGGGCAAGTAATTTTTCATTCACTTGCCTGATGGGCAATGGATTGGCAAGTTCTCTACCAGCTAAATTATAAAAAGAGCAAACTAAGACTTGCCCAGGGCAAGCAGAATTTGAGAGCTACTTGTCCCGAGGGCAAGTGGGAATTCAAGTGTTTTTTTTCAAGCCCTGTATAAGGCTTCATTATTCAACCAACAACAGCCTTTTGGAACAATAACCTCATAGAATTCAAAGTGTTACTTTGTTTCCAAATTTATCTGTATGGTTAACATGACCACTGAAAATTGTGCATGACAAGCAAACATAAATTGAATAACAATTTTACGTCAAAAAATGGATTAGCTGCATTTCTTGTACTGTGAACAAGAGTTGATGAGAAGTCAGAAGTAAATAGAGCAAGGAGCACTAGTATCCTAATTTAAACCAACTCTTTGAATACAACCACACCATTTGAAAGGATACATTTTTATGCCCACAGTAGTCATAGGTAATTATGAGCTTCAACCCTATTTTGCTGTTGAAAGGAATCCAATCCAAATACTTGACAAAAACCACCATACACATGTGACA